AAGTAGTCAAATTTACTCAACAGAAAAACGAATCACATTCATATGTACTCTATGTAAAAATAGTGGTGTCCCGAGGCTGGGTGTCACCCTCTGGGACAACATCATGCACGCGTGTGACGTCATGATGGACGCGCGTAATGACGCCACGTGCACTTAACTGCTGGCTGCCATCTCAGTAATGGATACTGGCACAGGGAGGAGGGGCCATTCATCCGGCGGGATTAGGTATGCTGCTGGCTAAACACCACCGTGTCGAACACTGGAGTACTTTAAAATCACGGTGCACCGTGTCTACAATTAAAATCCAAGGGATAAGCTTCCCCAAGACCAGAGTGGATACGACAGGGTCGAGACAGCCAACAGTGAGTACAACGACATATTGATGGTAATATATCTCACATGTCTCCCCTCTCTAGTCACGATTAAGTGACGGGTGTTATGGACTCACGCTGAACCCGGGACTTTTAAACGATATATCCAAGAGTACAGTGATACTACAAAGAAACCCTGATTTCCTGAGCTTTTGTCTACTACGGGGACACTACAATACCGCTATTGAAGGATACATGGTTTCTGAAATCCTTAAATGGACACAGATCCGAAAAGGATATTATCCATAAATTGATTTCCTTCGTGATACAGGATATCCTCTTATTTACAGGAATACAATTGTGGCCATTATCGAAGATCACTTATCAGTTGCTAGGGATCAATATCACAAACGAAGAATTCCCCTCGAGGATAATTAGGAGGTTTACATTGTCAATATATGTGTGGGGCCCATGGGTTTGTATGAGTGTTACAACGTTGTTTTTTAAATTTTGAATTTTGAGAAGCACGTCAATGTTCCTTGGCATCCGGGTTACTATAATAAATTTTTTACCATTTTCATTAATATAACTGGTCTCGATTTATTTTTATGAACCGCTACTCCCAGTTATTCCTTACCTGGGAGACCCTTTTGCTTTTTTCATATGTCTATTTGGTTCAATAAATCTTGATGACCCAGTCTATTTTGATTGAATAGGAACACACACATAGGTTTTGTTCTCCTGGAATACCCCTCCCCCCTTTATGCTGCTGGGTCCCCTCCTCTCTCGTGCAGCTTTTGGGTCATGGACCAAGTGCCTGATTTTTCAGAGGGAGTGACACCAAAATTACTGTCAGTCATTTTGGTGTCACCCCATCTGATGGTGTCACCCGGTGAGGGCCACACACCCACTGTGTAAAAAAATGTTTTAAAATGTTTTGTTTGCCCTTAAAGAAACTAACTCTTCCTGCTAAAGTTAGGGCCTGGGTCAATGGGCTTTTGTTTGCACTAGAACTGCTTCTCCATGCAATTGAAAACAACTTGAAACAGGTTAATGAAACATATAAGGCAACCAAATGCAGATCAGAAGTAGGTTTACTGCTGGTCAAAAGCTCCTGTCAACGAACCCTGAATGCACAGAGATTTTCCAGCTTGTGGGGCAATAATCTAGCACTAGCATACTGAGAATGGATGGCACTGAGGAAGGTTACCTCTGCATGTAACCCATTACGCACACAAAAGGTAGCTGTCACCACATATTTGAATGAAAACATATGTTTACAGCATCTACTTACAGCAAATATGACCTGTAAAAATGTGTGTGACACTGCTGCCATGCCCGGACAGAAATGTAACAAAGTTTTAGAATTTGGTTGCCCTCTTAAAGGCTAGGATTCTTTAATTCCTGATTTAGAACAATCAAAAGTTCAGCTTACCATTTTACTGAAAAGCAAAACAATGCAAAAAGATATTACAAAAACAGACAATTAGCACTAATAAAATAAACCGCATTAGAAATAAAAATTAAGACTCCTGCAAAGTCTCATTCATTTGCAGAACACGTCCAATCTGATGGATCTGAGTCACTAGTTGTCATAAATTACTTTTAGAATTATTTCATAGTTTCAATGGTGAACTAGAACTCCAGCTGCTGATTGCAGCTATCTTTTCAAGTTCTTGAAGCATGTTTACAGAATTAACATAAGCAATCAAGGAGTTTGTGGAGTGTGCAGGGGGTTGAAGTATTTTATGATGCTTGGCTGAAACACCCTACCTTCCCAACTATATCTATATTTCCAATTGACAAAGTTTTACAATTCAACCACCAACATAGTATTCAATAAAATTCCTTTATGATTCTTTAGATACCAAATATGATAGAAATTGGATGCATATATTGCTTAGAAGATTTTATGTGTCCAGTTTGCTGACACATTCGGGAGATTGTAGTCACTGGGAATGGAGGCTCTGGGATTTTTGGGATTGAAAGGCATTGATAAAAGACAAGGTGACACCAGACAGGAAGATTAAGGATCACAATGCCTGCATGTTTGGTGAGGGTGTGAGATGCGCAGGGTCTAAGGACCCCCAGCTATTCACCTTCCCTGCTTGACATCTCCCAGGTTGCGGCCCTCTTACACCCCCAAGCAGACACAGTTAGCCGGATAATGCAAAGATGATAAGATCACTTGGAAAGTAATGTAATGGTAATCACAGTAATGGTAATCACTTGTAGCACAAGGGTCTTACGAAATGGAGAATGAAGTGAAGTGAAACCGTTGCAGTGGGGGGGAGGCTGGGATTTAGTGTTATATTAAATGTGTCATCACCTCTCCACCGCAGACATAAGATTTAAATCTAACTGTTTTTGTAGCTGACTTGCGAAGTTGGGAGAATTGAGGATGGCTTTGGGTTCAGTACAACTTTCCCATTCTATCCACTGAGTTTGGGATTTATCAGATCACATTATTGTCACACACAGTATCTGTTGTCTTTTTGTTCAGTTGCATTAACTTATAGTAACTATATAGGATGTCTTTTTAACTGTTGCCAATAATATTTCCATGTTCAAGTAAGTGCAGTGTAAGGCTATACGTTTTTTGACAAACAGATTGCAGCGCAACGCATCTGGTGTGAATGGGGCCTAAAAGTTTTAGTTTCCTGCAGAATTGGTTGGTCACCTTAGCATTGGCCCTGATATCCCGATCCTTTCCCTTGCAGGGTCCTATGACCCTGCCACACACACACACAAGCACAGCAAGCATGGCAAGCCACTCTCCTGCTCCCTACTCCTCCTTCCAAGCTGGTAGATGGACAGCTGCTGGAGACTATTGTGTCCCTCAGAATCTTGTACTGTACAGGAAGTTCAGGAAAACCAAGCTGAAAGAGTTGAAGCCAGCTATTCAGAAACATGATGAGTGCTTGGGAAACATGTAAAGGAATACTCTGCTTGAAATGTATATTTGTTTGATCTGGATTCATTATTGTAAAAAATATTGTAAACTTCCCGAGATAACAGCTGATTTCCAGACTGTTTGCATATAATTTCTATACGCAACCTCGGACTCTTATGTATGTGTTTGGTGGATTAACTTCCATACCCATCACATAAAATTGGTTAAAGTTCTTAAGCCTGTGACACACTGCACACGAAGCAGCACGGATCAAAGGGAAATGGCGGCGCATGGAGCTTCACACGCAGTGTGTCCTGCAATTTACACTCCGGCGCGTCAGCTTGCGAGAGCTCGCGTAGCTGAGCGTGCCAAAATGAAAAATGTTAAAAGGCTTGCATTATAAACCCGCATAGCATTGAGTTGTTACATGTGAGCCAATTGGCTCCAGATGGACTCTTTTACACTGCACTGCTCTCGCACACTGCATGTGAATATCCGAACCTCGCAACTTCGCTTTGCTGCTCACGGCTTCGCATGCAGTGTTTCACGGGCTTCAGAGTTGTAGAGGGACATGGGACTGTCCGGACTATTAAAAGAAGCATTACAAATCATCGGTCAAAGGTTTACAAAGGAATTTTTACAAGATACGTTTGAGAACAAATGCTGCTAATTTTAATTGATTCTAGAAAAACAATTAAATAGAAACTTTTTTTTTATTATTAACAAGCTTACAGGTCCATAAAACATTTCAGAAATATCATGTAAAATGATATAAAGAGCTAGACGTAGGTAGCCGTTTTTAAACCCTGCTGACCTTGTATGAGTTTATTGCTAAGAGGGGTTTATAACAGTTTAGAGCCAATAGCGTAGTAAGGAGGGGGTGAGAATGTATTAATTAATTGCCCATCTTACAAAAAGTTTTATTTTGCATCCTGTGTATTGTAGTGTAGGCTGTCTGTAAAACCTGCCGGGTTTTACAGACAATTGATAGAAAGTAATTATAGAAGGCATGTTCCTCCACAGTTTCTCCTTTTAGGTAAAGCCAGCAAAGGCATTGACGTAAAGGAATGTATTTCTTTACCCTGTGTTGTTTAAAAAGAATTGTACTGGGGCTGCTTTTACTGGAAGTCTAATAGAGTTTCTGGAAAGGGTGAGCTCCCAATTCCGTGCAGACCGTTTGGTTGCTACTGGACAGGACCTCATTAGGGCAGCTGGATCCAGCTATGTGTCAGAGTGTCTCCCAGCCCAAGACAGGCATTGTGCTGTGACTGAAAAAAGACTGTTATAAAGTCTGTGAGGTTGACAGGAACCTGTTGATGGACTGCAGCTGTTTCCAGAAAGGAACATTACCTTGAACAAGGCACTTTGCTTCTACGAGCACTCATTAAGGCTCAGTTGAGCAGATTTTTGCTTTTTGATTGCTCACTTTGCATTATGGATGGATGCCTTTACCATTTATGCTACTCTTGCCTGGAACAATTTGCTTAAGAGATTTGATGTTTTGCCTCTGCCTAGAGTATAGCCTCCACAGCAGCGGTGTCCCTAAACCCAGCAGAGTTGGGGGGGTATGTGGGGTGCTGGTGCTGCACTGTCTGGGAGGGGTGTTGGTAAAGGGGGTCGCTGATTCTCGCTCAGCTCCTAGCAATCAGTGACGTCAGTGAGCTGGGCAGGACTCTGGACAGAGCCTCACAGTTTGCAAAGAGCCCTTACCAACCTGGGACACTCTGGCCAGTCAGGGGGTGGCAGGCACACAGCTGCCTCAATATAGGGACAGCCCTGCCCGACAGTATGCAATTACATGTGTAGCTCTCCTTCCATTGATGTAATGGGTGGTTGATATGATGGCAGTCCTCTAATGATCCAATATTGTCCTATAGTATCCACCCCAATAAAAAAAACTTTGTGACAAAGTTAAAATAAAAACCTTAAAATAAATAATCAAAAAGAACCTCTAGAAAATTAATTAGGGCGAATGGCCTAAGGAAAAACAAATCTGGCAGCCATTTCTACTGTGTATGCTGCTCGGATATACAGTATACTCCCCTAGCCACTCACATTATTATTTATTTTTTTCTTAAGTAGCAGCTAATCCCATTAAACTGAATAAAAGAAAACAAAGACATGCAACTGTTGCCTACAGTATCCAACAGAATTGTTTAAGCTTCTCATAATTTGGATTGGTTGCCATGAGCTACATGAGCTACTTTTGTTCCTCTTCTCTTTTATCCAGTCCTCATGCATCAGTCCTTTCACACACACACACACACACACACACACACACACACACGTACCATTGTGGCTACAGTTAATTAGTTACAAGATTGAAATAATTTCTGTTTGTCTAGGTTTTTTGGTAACTCCATGACAAGTAATTCTTAACTGTGTTTACAATTTACTTCCGATAATGCATACATTTCATTGGCAGAATAAATGACACTCACCCAAATGCCGTTGCAGTTTGAATCACGTAGAGCATCCCAGTCTTCGGGTCTGTATAAATACATCAACATAGATCTGTTAACTCTATTCATTTTACAACTGCCTTTGCCCGAGAAATGCAAATCACTGCTGTTACTAAGGCACTATGTATTCTTATCACCAATGTCTTCTGCTTTGATTAACATAATAAACCCATATAAAATCCGAACACCTGTTGCTGGAGTGGCTCGCTCATGACTCGTCATCCAAATTACAGAATTGAAGAAGAAAAAAAAAAGGAAAAACAAAACATTTTCATATAACTCTAATTATCATGATGATTAGTATGGTAAGACGATGTCAGCTTGGTAAAGCGAGACACATTTTGAGATGCATTAAAATCTTTTTAAATTTAGAGAGACAAAGCTGTCAATTTATGATCACTGTAAGAAACAGATACAAATTATACATAAGGGAGCAGGGGAGTATAAAACAGTTTGTAGTCCTAGATAACTGTCCATAAACTTAAGAGAACAGTGCAAATGAAAGAAAATCAGACCACCAGAATAATTGTTTAGGGATATTTGCATAATCATGCACAATCTCCTACATGTTAATGTCTATGGTAAATTGAGGTGGAGTAGTTATGGCGCAGGCTTATCAGTCACAAACACAGTGAACAATTGTGATTCTCCAAAACATTTTATATGGCCCTTTGCTATTTGCCCCCAGACCAGTCAGCCAGGAGGTGTCTAGTGATATCTGCTCATGCCCTTAGATAAGGAGATTAACAGAGCCAGACAGTCAGCACCCCATATCTATGGTTACCTTAACCCAAAATGTACATTGATTTTTGGTCCTATTTTAAGGCTGTTAAATAACCTACCATATTTTAAAGTTAACCAAGTTTGAATTCTATTTTATTCTATCTTCATCAGCATTGTAACTCATAGAAGCCATGCTAGAGCCAATCAGGAAGTAGAACATTTTAACATGTTACCATTATTTAGAGTTCCTTTTTAAAGAAATTCTGCACTGCTTTGTTTTCTTCTTAATTATGTTTTTTTGCTGCTGAAAATATATTTATACACTGTGTA